CCAGTAAGGGCAAAGCCTTCAAAATTGTCTTAGATGATTGGGTGACGGAAGGACTTACTGTTTCACAGGGGCCATCATTGCAGGGTGAAGGCAGACTGAGGACATAGGTCAGCTTTTGGTACCTTTATTCTCATTTTTAGCAATTTCCATCCTAATCCATGTGTGTTTGCTGCAGGTTGTTGTGAGGCTTCCAGGCCTCCCTGATTCATCTTTTTAATCAACCGAGAAGAGGAAATGGTCTGCCTTTATCACCCTCTCGGTGGCTCTCTGAGAAGCAGCAGGCTGCAATCCCAGTTCTCTGGCTGCTCACCTGCTTCCACCCCTCATTACACTATTCCCATGGTAACCCCCAGGAAGCCAGAAGAGGAAAGGCGAGCCATCCAGAAGCTATTTTTAGATTTCTGGCCAGATGCTTTGACAAATCTGTTGAGGGAAAGAAAATGGAACAAATGTAGAAGAGGATTTTTTTTTCCTCCCAAGAAGACAATATCTTTTAAAATTCATATTATAAAACTGGAAAAGATCTAGAGGAATCATCTGATCTACCTCTACCTCTAGGAAAACCTACTTCACACCATATAAAAAATGTACAATAAGATATTTTTTAGGACATTATATTGGATACCCCATTTAATACACAGCCATACTTTCTATGCTACCTTTGCCCCACATTCAATATGGTTCTTAGGCAAGGGGGTGAGCGATGAGACTGAGTATGATTGCACAAAAATGTGGACTCACAACTCTGGGCAAATCATTTATTTAGACTGTGATTCTTCCAGCACTATCTAGGGCTTTGCAGTGCACATTGTGTGCAACTACATATGCTGGCCCTTCTCCATTCATCTTTTTTGAAATGTAAACCTCATTCAGTGCAGCCTCTGTCATCCTCCATAGAAACCTTTAGGAATTTCCCGTTGTTCTAGATCTTTAAAGTCTCGATCACATACAACATGATATTGACCCTGCATATCTGTCTAGGCTAATTTAGTACATTTTTTTTCTATTTTTTTTCCTCTCTGTTTCAGGAAATGACCTTTGAAGAATTTCAGAGAAGCTACCTTCTTCCCATGGTCTCTAGTTAATTTCTGTGACTCTTTCCTGTGCTTCCAATCTGAACTCAAAAAACCCTTTCTTGTCTTCTAAGATAAGAAGAGACAGCACTGCTGCAAAATGTTCTAATTATACATTTCTTTTATGGTACTTAACAGTTTATAATTCCATACTTATGTAATTGTTCAGTTTATTATTATTTTATACTCTGAGCTTCATGTTGATAAGGAACTATATTATTTGCACATTATTATATACCTATTGCCCAGCACTGTGTTTGGCAAATAAATTTGCTGAATGAATGACTAGGCATTATTTTATTTTGTTTTCTTAAGTATTGTTTTTAGTTGTAGTTGGACACAATACCTTTATTTTATTTATTTATTTTTATGTGGTGCTGAGGATCAAACCCAGCATCTCGCATGTGCTAGGTGAGCGCTCTACTGCTGAGCCACAACCCTAGCCCATAGGCATTATTTTAAATGGACATAAATCCACTTTGTCTTTCAAGCTATGTAATCATAACATAGTTCTTCAAAATGTAATGCATCTAGTTCAATGTCCTTTCATGATACAAGAATCTCAATAAAATAGAATTAAGAAAGAAAATTCTTCACCATTAACAAAGGCCACTCATGAAAAGCTCACAGCTAGCCTCCTGATAGGTAAGATCTGTACATGGCAAGATTGTCTAGTCTCACCATTTCTACTCAAGCATTTCTGGAAGTCCTAGCTAGAGCATTTAAGTAAGAATAAAAAAAGAAGGTGAAGGAGAAGTAAATTGTAGAGGAAGAAGAAGTAAAACGATCTCAACAGGATCAGATGAAGGAGAACACCCATGCTCTTCCACAAACTGCCAGGTCCCCATTGAGCCCGGTGCTTCACTTACTTGTGACTGTGAGCATGGAGAAGAGCCAGGGACGCTGAGGGTGTTTGGTTGCTTCCTCTTAAAATTAGTGCTTCTTAATCTAAGCAGAGTAAGAATCCATCTTTGTGTCATCAGTTATCTTGGTCTTTTCCACAGACTTATTTTTGTTCAAGTTTGAACTGCAAAATCTCATGGTGTGAAGTTTAGTATTTTTCTGTATTGAGCACCACCATCTTTCAAGCCCCTACAATGGCTGTTTTCATAGTCTCTCTTACTTAATCTTCTCAGAAACCCTGTTAGGTTGCTTTTGTTATTATCACATTTTCAAATGAGGAGTTCATGTGCTTCCTTTAGTTCCTGTGCTTCTTCTTCTTCTTCTTCTTTTTTTAGAAAGAGAGAGAGAGGTAACTTTTTAATATTTATTTTTCAGTTTTCGTCGGACACAACATCTTTGTATGTGGTGCTGAGGATCGAACCCGGGCCGCACGCATGCCAGGAGAGCGCGCTACCGCTTGAGCCACATCCCCAGCCCCCTGTGCTTCTTCTTTAGAAGAACAGATGGCTGGGGACGGAGCCTAGGTTTATCTGATTTTCAAGCCCATGCTCTCTAGTGGAAATAGATTGGCAGTTTATGCCATGCTATAGTTTGGATCCAGAATGTAATCCAAAGGCCCATGTGTTAATGTTTCATTCTCCAAGGGGGCAGTAGAGAGAGGTGGTAAAATCTTTAAAAGTAGGGCCTGATAAGAGGTCTTGAGGTCATTGGGAGCATGTCCTTCTTGCTGTCTTTTGCTTCTTGGCCAAGAAGTGAGTTTTCTTCCACTACATACTTCTGCCATGATCTGCTGCTTTGCCACATACTCAAATAAATGGGGCCATACAATCATGAACTGAAACCTCCAAAATTGTTAGCCAAAATAAGCCTTTTCTCTTTCATAAGTTGATTATCTCAAGTATTTTGTTATAGTAATGGAAAAGAGGACATTTATTGGTCCAATTGGTCTTTTAAAACATTTTTAATTAGGTATAACCATTCAGAAATCAGAACATTTCCTACAGAAATCTAGATTTTAATTTCTATATAAAATAAATCATGTCTAACCACATGGGGGTCACATGTATGCAAGCCAACAATTGCCTGAAGCTGTATAATGTTTGTCTCTTATGGATGCCATTTTCCTGTCTGTCCCTAATTTCTCTATTAGTCCTGACCTGCTTTTGTATTTGTGACACCTGTTTAGCCCCTACAGGTCTCTGGGTTTTTAACTTAACATCTATATTCTGTTGAGGGAAGAAATGATTCTTACATCTTGAATAGATTTTATTGTTAGAGAAAAAAAAAAACCTGTTCTTTTTTCTCCACAAAGTAGAGATCATTGTATTGACATCTTCATAACATTAGATGTTCTTAGTTCCGTGCATTTGTATCTATCTTAGCAGATGATATGATTTCTTTAAATACAAAGTAGTGATGGTTAATGTGGCTGGTTTGGTATTTAGCTGTGTGAAATGATTTCTGATCAAGGTTTTGACTTCATGGGGATATCGCAAATTATATGGCTATATTTTTCTTATTTTTTTAAGAAAATGGTTTTATTACTAATTTTTAGTTCCATACAGTTTACAAATGCACTTTACTTTGATAATACAACTTTGCAACCAGCAAAGCAGTTGAACTAACACCCATAAATACAGCTGGAGAGACAATTAACATTCACTAGTATTTCTCTACCTAAACTACTCTTTTAATGTCATTATTTAAAATAAAATTCCAAATAGACTACATAATACACATGGGCAAAAAGGCAATTCAGTGGATATCTTGAAACACTAAATGTATAATAAACAGCATATTATCAACATTTACACGATTCACATCAAAATGATGATATCCTAAAGTGCATTCCTTTTGAAGGATAGATTTATCAATAAAATACCTCATATCTTTTAATACTCTGGTATTTTAATACTTCTCATAGAATGCAGGAAAATTAAATGTAGGTCTGGCCATCAGCCTAATAAAGGGTCTTTTCCTATTACCTTTTATTAATAAAATAATCACAATTAGGTCACAAACAGGCAAATTTTTAATTACATGATTTGAGGTTTAGGATGGAAACTTTAAAAAATTACTTTGATATACAACATAGTTACACGACACACTATAAGGCTACATTTTTAACAACCACAGCACTGTGGATTCTCAAGTATTTCTTGGCCTCAGGGTATAGTTATATCCTATTCAGTCTCTTTCAGTAAGCCCGTGATAAGGACAAACAGGAGCTTTCCTGCTGGCATTGCCCCAGTATGGCCCCATAGCTCACTCTAGCAGTGCTGTGGAGTTTCCCAGGCCAGCAGAAACTGATTCCTGATTCAGCAGGAAACAGAGATTCTTCCATAAGGCACTATTTGCCTTAGTTTTGAATGTTGCTTTCCTCCACTTTCTTGATGTCTGAATTCTTTTTTGTTTGTTTTGTTTAGGTACCTGGCTGCAACTCTGGGCTCACTTCTGTTGGCTTCTGTGCACTCCCTTTCTGGTCCATTCCTTGAGGCAGAGACTGCACCTTGCAGCCCCGACACTCAATAGAGCACATTTACCTGTACTGTGCTACCTTACCTTATGAGGGAGCTCTTATTATTCTCAGGAAAGCCTGGCTCAAAAGACAATGAAAATTCACTAAGTTGATATGCAAAAGAATTTCCAACTGGTTAAAACTTCTAAACTTTCCTATTCAGTATACTTTGCATTTAAGGCACAGATATAGAAATTGCTAGAAAACATCAGAAATAATTCAGCCATTCCTTATTTCACCATGTTGCATCTTGTTTGAGACTTTGCCAATCTTCAGATAGGACATTACTTGAAAGGAAAGAAATTATATTGTGTCATTTAAATGATAGTAGTCCTATCTCAATTACAAATGTTCCAACTTAAAAAAAAAACAAGTCTTTATAAATAAGGTACCCATTTAACTTTTATTGCATGTTGTTTGTATAATACACTTGCTAATTGTCTGATGATAATAAGATGTGGGAAAGTAAAAGAAATGTGTTTACACTGCAATTTTTTCCCCTTCAGCAACCATCAACTGACCTAGAATTTGACCGCGTAGTGATTTATACCACTTGTCTTCGAGTGGTGAGGACAACCTTCGAGAGATGTGAACTGGTTAGAAAGATCTTCCAAAACCATCGAGTAAAATTTGAAGAGAAAAACATAGCTCTGAATGGTGAATATGGAAAAGAGTTAGATGAAAGGTGCCGGCGAGTTTCGGAAGCTCCGTCCCTCCCTGTGGTGTTCATTGATGGCAATTATCTCGGGGTAAGTACTCAGCCAAGGAAGAGATCCTTTGTCATAGACCCCAAACAGTGCTGAGAGAAATATGTAAGCTTATCTAACAAGATGACTTGCAACATAACTACCGGGACACTTGATATTTTTTGAAGCTCTAACCAAAGGGATTGAAGCATTTATTTCTGTCCCAAATGATGTGCTGCTACCGTGCTCAGCCTTACAAAAGCACAGTGACATAAAATCAGCATGAAATTGCATTTTTGAATACATTTTTTAAATGTTCAGGTTACTTGAATTTTGCAATGTGAAGATTGATGTGGTATAAAACTACCTTTTCTTTCATTACAAATAAGAAAAATGAGAGGCTTATGCATTTGTGTTCTCTTAATACCCTATTATCAAACACCCAGTTTCTTTCCCAATGAACCTGAGATGACAATCTTGAAATGAGATAGATAGGAAATGGAGCCTGGGATTTGAATTTTATCTGCTTGTTTATTATCAAAATAATAATTTTTTAAAAATAAATTATTATTGAAATAATAAATCATTAAAATTATTCTTGGTTTTTGTAGTGCAGTGTGAAACATAAATTCAGGCTTGCAGTAAGCAGAGAGAACTCTCAGAGCAGGCAACAAAATATGTCCAACTCATTTCTCTTTGAATAATACTGTTAAGTGTAATTAACCCCATGGATCTGTGAGCATGCTTGGGTAAGAAGCCCAAGGCAAGGGCTTGGGGAAGTGCGGTCTGGAAAAGGAGACAGCACCAAGGGACACCAGCACCCACTGAGAGCTGCATCAGATGACATGATCCTTTATCATAGAACGGAGACTGTGAAGGGTACTTGCACCTTGGTTTTGTCTAGCTTCTGACTTTAACCTTTAGCTTTCCAGAGGAGATGGAGAAATCCAGAGCAGGAGAGGATTGTGTTTTGTTTCAGGGAATGTGTGTTCTCATATCTCATCTACAGCCATACCTGTTAGAGGCAGCCCTTCATCTTATGGAAAGATAAATGCCAAGCAGCTGTGATTCCATAGTGAGGACATTAAGCACTCTTATTTTAACCAAAGGGCATCAGCTACATTTTGGAGTACAGTAATTTTGATTTGAAGTATTGATCCTGTTTTTAGTGTATTTCAATATATACCCTTAGGCTACAGGAAACCATAATAATAGTGATAAAAACTAATGATAATAATAATAATAATAACACTATTCTGTACCCTTGTGTTTCCACCAGTTATCTTATCTAATCCTCAGGATAACTTGGACAGCATACTGGTTAAGAGGGGAACACTGGTATTGGGTAGGCAGCCTTATTAAAATTCCTGTTCTGATATTTAACTTGTGACTGCTTGTTGGTTTCCTCATTTACAAAATGAGAATAATAATAGAGCTTATCTCACAGGCTGATGGGTAAGGATTTTATGAGATAGTACATATAAGTACTTAGTTTCTATGCTTGTTTAACAAATTGTGTTTTCAAGAAATACTAATGATAATCCTTGTTTTGCAAAAGAAAAAATTAATTTCTCTGCTTCAAGTGACAAAGCTGGCCAAGAGGCAGGGCCATGACACAATGTTAGATTTGACATTCCAAACCCCTGCTTTCTGGAACATCATCTGGAGGAAAAGGGTTTTTGACTCTTTGATGATTCTGTCTTAATGCTCCCAGTAGGCTAGGCACTAATTGGGTGCCCAAATAAGGCTGTGTTGACAGGATGGGTGAATTATGCTGCATTGCTTTCTCATGTTCTTTCCTTCCCCTCCTGACTCATTCATAAAGAAAGGATCTGATAAACTCAATTACATCAGGGAGAATATAACTTACCAGGGCTATAGGCATTCATCTTTCAACTCAGGAAAAATTCTGACAGGATAAGATATTTCTCATTGGATTTGTAGGAAACCTCACACACAGGTTGACCCCACCCTATAGACTGCTCTTGACCATGCCTGTTCCCATCCAGAACCCTCAGACTTCCTTCCTTCCTTCTTCTGAGACACTGTAACAGGCTGTAATGCCTGTCCTGCTCTTTCAGCTGGGGAGATGGAAGGACACTGCAGTGGACCAATGAGGTCGGGCACATGTTCCCCTCTCAATTGCCTTTTCTCTGTGATCACTTTATTTGCACACTTAGTAAACTTAGGGTGAAAGTGTCATGCAGGTGCAACCTCCCTGATAATGCAATTTGAATCCAATGCTCCAAACCTGGAAAGAGTCCAGAAACAGATGTTTTTTTGTTCTCCTTTTAGTTTTGTGTTACTGCTAAACCTACAATTCAAAATGGCAAATGATAACTTAAGATATAATAAAAAATGACTTATAAAACATACCTCCCCTTCAACTACAACAGCCCCATTATTGAAATCCCAGTGTTCAGTTGTCAAGGAATCCAGTGCTGGCATTGTGGAGCCTTTTTCCTGCTGCTCATGCATCTGAAATGGAAGGATGCCCTCTGCTGGGTTTTGGCATGTGGTGAAACATGGCTTTTAGGAAACTAAAGTGATGTTGGTAATTTCCCTAACATTTGTGATGTTTTCAACAGTCACATGAAGCTATTTGATTGAGTTTACATTTAGATGGGTGAGAAAATTCGAGATGTGTGAATCATCTAGACAATAGTTTTCTTTAGAAAATGAAGTGAATAGATAGAAACAGAATGAGCGGCACCTGGAAGCAGAGGCAAGGGACACCTGGAGGGGATTGGGACAGCAGGAGAACATTTTGCACCTCCTACTGTTCTTGCTACTCACCCCAGGAGTCTGGCGCTGGAGGAAGCCAGTTATCTTCCTCCAAGTGAAGACAAGGAGTTTAATGAGAAAGAACAGAAGAACTGACAAGGAAGCGAAGCTCGTTTTCCTGACTCCCGTCCTCCACCAAACTTAAAACTAAAGATGGGAACAGTCAAAGGAAAGGAATTGCTTTAGAAGACAAATCAACACTGCCTTGCAATGCTGCAATGTGGGGAGAGAGGAATTCAGGTTGGAATGGGCTTAGATCCACTGTTCTGTTGTTTTGGCATCGGAAAATATTTCCACAAAAAGATCCAATAGTTTAGACAAAAGTTCTTAGAAATTGTATTAGGAAATAGGTCAGAAATGATGATGTGTCTGGACCAACCACAGAAGTCTACAGTGGAAATCCATGAAAACTTCATTGGATGGAGCTATAAACAGAAAGTACTTAAGTGGAGTGTCTGGTATCAGTGAGTCATAGAAGGACCATTGATAAGTGTCTTATACTAGCTGATATTGTGACTGTGATATTTCCCCATCTATTTAAAGTACTGTATTGTTCCATTGAAGAAAGAAGGTAATTATTATTGAGCATAACTAATTTATGGACTAGAAATAGAGTCTAGCCCATTTCTAAGGACTACTCACAAAACTTTTCAGCTGAGATGGATCCCCAAGGCAGCTCCTGCCTGCATCAAGAAGCATCGACCAGCTCCAGAGACTCACTGCCTTGGCTGTGACTCACACCAGCAGAAAGGGCTATTTGTTCTCTGCCCTTCCCAATACTCAACTCTATTCCTAAATATAAGTAAGTTTACTAAATAAGCCCCACGCTTAACATGAGAGAATCTGGAAAATATGCTTTTTGGTTTTCTAGCCTCTGAAGTACAATAAGAACTTCTGGAACAAAACTGGATTGATTACTGAGTGAGCCAAATCACAGCATCTGCCAGATATGCTGTTTTCATTTATTATTTTAAAAGCAACTTTATTGGGTTTAGACTTGTACCCATTCAAGGACACAATCCAGTCTTGTCTAGTGGCAACACCTATAGTCCTCACACTGGAGCTAAGGCAGGAGGATCACCTGAGCAGAGGAGTTTGAGACCAGCCTGGGAAATATAGTGAGACCCTGTCTCCAACAACAAAAAGTATATAATTCAACAAGTTTTGACAAATGTGTATACTCATGAACCTACTACTTCATTCAGAATGTACAGTCATGTGCCACTTAATGATGTTTAACGACAGACCACATATACCATGATGGTCCTATAAGGTTATAAGGAAGCTAAAAATGTTCTATCACATGGTGATCTCATAACATTGTGGTATAACATACTCCCTACCTCATTTTGGTGATGCTGGTGTAAACAGACCTACTTGATTATCATATGTTTTAAAATAATTTTGTTTTGGTGTGCCTAAATTTCACAGGATTCTTGAATATTATCTTTGTGTTTTTTTCCTTTTTTTTTTTTGGTCAAATTTGGAAACTTTTCAGCTATTATTTTTTTCAAACATCTCATCTCCTCCTTTTTCTCTTCTTCCTCAAGGGCTCCATTTATGTGAGGATAGGCTGCTGGAGTTTGTTCCATAGCACAATTCATTTCATTCTGTGTAGTTTCTATTATTATATCTCCTCAGTCCCTGATCTTATCTTCTATAACGTCTAATATTCTGTTAATCCCAGCAGTATATTATTTTTTATCTCAGACATGGTAATTTTATCTTTATAAGTTCGATTTTTAAAAATAGACTCAATTTTTTAAGAAGTAATTTTAAGTTCATAGCAAAATTGAGCAGAAGTTATAGAGATTTCTCATGTAACTTGGATCACATGTATAGCTTCCTCCATCATCCACACCCCCCAACAAATGATACATCCATTAAACTGATGAACCTACATTGACTCATCATTATTACCCAAAGACCATAATTTACCTGATGGTTTACTTTTGACATTGTACATTCTAAGAATTTGGATAAACTTATAGTGATAAGGATTGTGAGCACAGCTTGGGGGTAGAACACCTACCTAACATGCAAAAGGTCCTGGATTTGATCCCCAACACTGCAAAAAAAATTGCATATGCCATTAAAAACTTATAATAACATGTCTACCATTATAGTACCATTCAGGGTACTATACTAAAAAAATCATGTACTATCTAAAAAATCATGCTTCCACTATAAGAAACTACTGATCTTTTTACTATCTCCATAGTTTTGCCTTTTCCAGAATGGTGTATAAGTTGAAATAAACAGTACATAGATTCTAGATT